AAATAGCTACTATACTTACTAGGTAGCGGACTTATAGGGGTAGTAGAGGCGGAGGCGGGGGTAAAGGGGCTAGGCGTTATAGCCGGCGGTAGGGATAGCGTCGTTACCCGGAAAGGCGATATAAGGGCGGCTAGCGTAGTAGAGGTAGAGGCGGCGGCGGTAGGCGCGGTCGCGGGGGCGCGGGTAGGAGTAGCGGTAGCGGCGGAGCTATCGTCGGCTATGCTTAGTACAGCGTCGATAAACGACTCTATACGCTTTAAAAAGAAAGAAATAAGGGAAAGGGAGGTAAATATATCTATCGCGGAAGTTAGTATTATAGATTATAGCCTCCCGCTCTATAAAGCAAAGAACTTATTAGTTAAAGTTATTATTATTAAGGCTATTATTATTACTATAGCTATTACTATAAGTATATATTAATAAAGTAGCTTATATAGCTAAGAGCGAACTAACGCCCTAAGTAAAGCGGAACTTACTTATTACTATTACTATTATAGTTAAAGAAAGAGGAGAAGGAAAAAAAAGAAGAAGGGGGGGATACCGCCTTATATACCCCTAAGTAAAGGAAGCTACTTAAGGCCGAGGGGATAGGTAACTTAAGGCTTATATAGGTCTAGGCCGGCCGCTAGCTACCTAAGGGCGTATATAATAGGTTACGCTTTATTTAAACGGCTAGCTAGCCGATAAGTATAGAGCCCGGTTCCGGCTACCTAGGCTAATAAGCGCGAGGATAATAAGGCTAGTAGGGCTAGTATAATTAACTAAAAAAGGTAAGGTAGAGCTAGCGGTATAGGCCTAATAGTATAGAAGCTATTAATTAAGTAACGCCGCGCTACGCTTAAAGGAGGGTATTATATAAGAGTCTTTAACTATTATAAGTTATAGGCTTAGGCTATAGCCTAAGCTATATAGTTATATATAGAGGGCCGGATCTTATATATATATATATAGGCTAGCTATATATAAGAGAGCTCTATATAGCTTATTAATATTATCTTATAAATAGTACCTATATATATACCTTTACTTACTCTATAATAGATATAGCTCTTATACTTACGAAACTTAAATAATAACTTAAAGAGAAATAATAAAGTATTAATAATATAAGCTCTAAAAAATAAGAATTACTTAAAGAAATAAAAGATAAGAACTAACTCTTACTACTACCCTTACTATTAAAGGAGAATACTATAATTAAAAAATACGCGTTATACTTTAAAGAATTTAAGGAAATACTTAAAATTAAAACTTAATAAATACCTTAAATTCTTATAGAAAACTAATAAGCTATATTAATTTAATATTAACTAGTACTATATAAAAGAGACTATACTATAGCTATTACTATAGTTTATACCTTTATAGCTCTATAATAAGAATAGTAACTATAAGGAGAATTTAAAGATAATCTATAAATACTACTTACTTATAAGTACTATAAGTATATTTTATAGATATTATACGTTTACTTATATTATATAATATACTTTTAGATAAAAGTATAATATAATACCTCCCTAGTTAAGTTTAAGGGATAATTACTTTTAAAACCCTACCTAAGTATAAAACTAAACTACTAGAAAATCGATTAACGCTACTTAAATAACTAAGTTATATTATTAGAACCTAATTATAGTATACTACTTAAATACTATAATAACTATAGTTTATTAATAAGATATCTTTTAAAGATATATAAAATCTATAAATATACTAAAATAAAGGAATAGTATAACGCTACTTACTTTAAGGTATTTAAACCCTTAATCCTTTAAAGACTTATATAATAAGTTAAATATAATAAAGAAGATTATAATAAATATATATACTTAAACTATAGAGTTTATAAGTATAAAAAAGTATAGGTATAGTATAAATAATATAATAGTATACTAAAAGATTATTAGTAATATATATAAAGGCTATAAGCTATATTTAACTAAGGAAGAGTTAATATAGAAATACTATATAATAAATAAAAAGACGCTAAATAAAAACTTAACCTTTAATATAAAAATAAGTAAAATTATAAAGTATAATATATAATTAACTATAAAGTAATATAATATAAACGATATAGCGTTAAGAAATAAGAAATCTTTAATTAGCTATAAGAAATTAGTTTCTTAAGCCTTAATATAATACTATATAATAAAAATATAAAGAAACGATATTAATAATAAATTAAAGAAGAATACCTAAATAAAATAAATAAAAACTAAGTAAAAAACAAGGTATACTATTTATAAAAGGGCTATAGACTAGTATAATATAATAAGATCTAAGGACCTTATATATAGTAATAGTAAGCTATAATAACTAAATTGTGGGAATGTAGCATATAGCTATAGTAGGATTGTAAGGGAGGTGCGCACACACGCACACGTGACCCTTAGCGTCACGTGTATGGACCTCGGGGATCCGTGTATAAAGGGCACGTAGTGTGCCCCCTCATTCCCTTTCCTCCCTTCCTAGCAAGACATCTTGAATACAACCCATTGCGTTACTGCAGTACAGACCTCCCGACACTGATCAGTGATCGATTTGGTCGATCACAGATTGGCAAGGAAGAAGAGATAGAACGCAACCTTCGAAAGCCCAACTACCATATTCCTAGCGATATTGCCCTGGTTGGACCTAGAGGAGGTTTCTATGCTAAGATCAAGGACTCTACGATTACCCGGACCCGGCAACCAACTAGCTCCCGGTAGGCCATTGATAGATCCTTCCAACTTCACTTAACGGTTACATTAGTGTAAGTGCGTCCACAACGCCGATTCGACAACTACGTGACAGCCCTCACGATTCGACAACTACGTGACAACCCTCACAATGACAAGCACGACCCCAACCCCGAACCCCGCCTCTACGAGGAACGACGCCTTCCTCGACCAAGTAAGGGAATTGGTCCAAAATCTCACGATCCCAAAGACCCAATATCAGGATATCGATCCGACCCGATGGGAGGATGAGATCACGCCACAAGAGGAAGATAGAATAGCTGTTATGACATATACCGCACGATTTATGTCAGAATGCGAGGAGAACGTACACCTTCATGGCACTAATATCCTTGAATTCTTCCAGGATCACTTCCAACAGTGGACCGAGGCAACGTGGAGAAAGATGCCAAAGGAATTTCGAAGGAGCTACGTTACCTTTTAAAGAGACGTGGTATCTATACAGGAGAAAAGGGTGACCACATCATCCCACAGCTCGTCTTCCTACAGACGATCGATAACCCACCAGCCTGGCCCGACAACGAATTCATGGTAACCCAATTCGATAAAGGAACGGAGGCCTATACAAGAAAAGAGAGACGACTAACGCAGAACCCTCCCACCTCCAACACGGCGGAGCCATCCACGCCGTTAGCCCCTATTCCGACGCTCCCTGCTCCTCCCGCTACGACAATTGCGGAACCGCCCACAACGACTGCTACGCTTCCCAACGAACAATACATCCTACAAGCTATCAGTTCCAGCAACAGAGCATCGTTCTAGCAGAACCCTCTTCTCCACATCCCTCGAAGCGTACACAACGCTTCCCCCGGCCGACATCCCGAACGGCATCGTCGATGCCGACACACAACAGAAATTCACCAAGATCTGGGACAAAGAGAAGAACTATACGGGGGAACCCTATGACCTTCTCGATGATAAGCTACGCATCTTTATGAGTATCTGTTATAACATTCAGGTCAAGCCGGACCAATTCCACGCTCTTTTCCTCGAATCCTTACTGGCCGAGCCCAAACGTACTACATTGACCACGTTAACTGGACCTCAACGTTCCGCAAGGCATACGATAGCATCAAGCAACATTTCGATACGGAAGTTAACCACGTTCACTACTATACTGAATGGACGACTATTTCCTTTAACAAGCTCCGTGCCGATAATGCTACGAAATCCCTACACGAGGTTCTTCAGCTACTCCTTGATAAGCTACAGTTATGCCAACGAGCTCTTGGCAACGCGTATGCAGGAAACGTTCCACTGCGTACAACGCTTATTAATGCATGCCGCGGTGTTCCTGAACTTGAATACGCTTTATTCAAGCCCGCCGAAGGAATCGAGCCCTTTTGCAGATCTTCGCTCTTCCGTTGAGACCCATCTTGCACGCGGAATAGCGCCTCGTTATCTTCAAGGAGGCCCTCAATACCATCAAGACCTCGAGGAACCATCTGATCATATGGATCCCAATGACCACTACTATCTCGATCGAAGATACAACAACAATCGCGGAAGATTTGGTCAGAAGGGGTATAGAAGGTATAGAGGCAACGCTCAACGAGGCAGCTACAACGCTCCACGGGGAATCTTCAATAGTCAACGCTTTAACCGCCCACAAGGCCGTTACGGCCACAACCACCCGTGGAATAAGAAGTGCTTCGTCTGCAATAAGGAAGGATGTTGGTCTACAAAGCACACTGCCGAGGAACGTCAAAGATCCGAGACCAATACGTCGCCCACTGTCACTTCATAGGGATTACCCTCCCAGGACCTTACAGCCTACGTTCTTGACTTTGAAGGTCACGAGATGGATGCCCACGATGATGCTAACGACCCTGGGACGAGGACGACAATGAAGATAATGACAACAACCCAGAACAGTGGCACACAAGCCAAATGCTCTGCCAGCAAGCCTTCAACCATCTGATCACAGGGGAAGACGTGTATAGCACCTCTCAAAACAACGCTACACCTGCTTCCCAATTCATGATAGAGGAGCGCTACTCAAGACCTGATTCCAGGGCATCATAATTGACACAGGCGCCGCGAAGGTTTCCACAGCTGGCTACGACCAATGCATCGCTCTACAACGAGCAGACCCTGCTATAACGCTCGATAAGACTACAGCAGGCCAAGCTTCTATCAAATTCGGCAACGGCGAAGCCATTCTATCCTCGGCTCTATCGCCCTTAAAACACCTCTCGGAAGGATCACATTCCATATCCTCAAGACCCCTACTCCCTTCCTCTCTCTCTCGCTGATATGGATCGCCTAGGCATCTATTTCAACAACCTTACAGACACTATTGTCGGACGAACAACCCTCCCGGTTATCCGCAAATGGGGACATCCTTGGTTCCTCCTACCTAAGACCAACGAGGCCGCTATCGCATTCCTCACGGAGAGCGAGATCCGCACTCTTCATCGTCGATTCGGGCACCCAGCGGTCCCAAGACTTCACAACCTCCTACGGCAAGCTGGCCACAACGATGTGACGATAGATATCCTAGAGAACATCTCGAGATTCTGTCATCACTGTCAAATGCACTCTCAAGCTCCAAGACGCTTCAAATTCACCCTAAAGGATGACCAGGAATTCAACTACGAAATCGTCGCTGATGTGCTCTACCTTGGAACCCTCAACGCCCCGTCTTGCACGTGGTAGATACAGCAACAGCGTTCCAAGCAGCCAGGTTCCTCCTATCGATGTCAGCAAAGGATACGTGGGAAGCCCTCCGAGCCCTCTGGATAGACACATATCTCGGACCCCCTGATACTATCAAGCACGACGCAGGGACCAATTTTGCCTCCCTAGAGTTCCGTAACGAGGCAAAGCTTATGGGGATAACCTGCAAGCAAGTCCCTGTGGAAGCACATTGGTCCGTTGGAAAGGTTGAAAGATATCATGCCCTCTCCGCCGTGCGTTTGAGATCCTCCACGCAGAAATCGGGACCTTCACATCCCCCGAATCGATCCTTCAAATGGCTATCAAAGCCATCAACGACACAGCAGGGCCAAATGGCATTGTCCCTACGCTCCTAGTCTTTGGCGCCTACCCTCGAATGGCGTTAGATTCGCCCCTTCTGCTACGACCCTGAAAAGGGCTGCCGCAGCCAGAAAGCGATGAAAATGCTTCGTCAGCTCTCAGCAGAGCGGCAAGTGCAGGGCGCCTTACACACAAAGAACGGACCATCATCAACAGGCGTTATACTATCGCTCCCACTGCAAAGCGAGGTCCGAGTGTGGAGAGAAAGCTCGGCTGGCAAGGCCCTTTTAAGATTAGTGCAATTGATGGCTCCAATGTCACAATTGATACTATCAACGGACCCCAGACCTTCCGTTCCACCCTTGTGCAGCCTTATTTCCGCGACGAGACGACGATCCCTGCCCCCGCTGCTGCTGCTGCGGATGATTCTGACATTCCTGTTTCTGATCCTGCGAGCGATTCTGTTCCTGTTTCTGCCCCTGCCCCTGCCCCTGTTCCTGCTCCTAATCCCCCGGCGCCGCGCAAGCGAGGCCGCCCCCCTGGTTCGAAGAACAAGCCAAAGACGACGTTCCTAGTCAAGAAGGAAGAAGATGCCTACCAACTAGCCATCAAGCTACGGGACGAAGGCATTATCACAACGCCAGGCACCCCCTTTGAGGAATCCGATAGCACGGAGATCGATGATCTATTGGTACGAGTGTTTAGCTTCGAACGCTACAATGAAGCAAAGCACGGGAACCATCATATCTTCCGCTCCCGCATGGTCCGCGAGGTTAAAGGCAAAGAAACCAAACCATACGAGAAGTCAAGGCTCGTGGTCCAAGGGCACAACGACCAAGAGAAAACCACCCTATTGACGCAATCCCGACAATTCAACGCGTCAGTCAACGGCTTATTTCTGCTATCTCCCCAGACCTCCTTTCTCACGGCATGACCTCTCTCTTCGTGACATCACACAAGCGTATCCCCAGGCGCAGACCGAACTATTCCGCACCATTCTCACGCATCTTCCCGCCGAATTAGAAGGAAGATACCCGGAAGGAACAATCATTCGCGTTATTAAGCCCCTATACGGAATTGCGGAGGCCGGAGTCCATTGGTTTCGAACCTATCACGGGCATCATGTCGATAACCTCGACATGTCCACATCAACCTACGACCTATGCTTCCTAATTACGAATAAGGGACCTGATAACTTTGGGATTGTGGGAATGCAGACTGACGATACCCTTATGCTTGGCACACAACGTTTTTCCGCGCTAGAGGAAGCGGAACTCGTAAAGGCACAATTTCGGGCAAAGCCGAAGACAACGATGACCCCGGGTACTAGCATTGACTTCAACGGTGCAAAGATAACCCTCCAAGACACCACTTTCCACAACGCTCTACTGCTTCAACAAAAGGGTCAAGCAGCCAAGATCGAACCCATCGACATCAAGGCATACGATCGAGCCCAACAGTACGTGGAACAGCGTGCCCGTGGCGCGTATGTGGCTTCAATCTGTCAACCAGAGGCCTCATTCGACATCTCTATTGCTGCCCAGGTCCAAACCCCTACGGAAGAGGATTGCACGACCTCAACAAGCGGCTTCAATGGCAGAAAGACCACCAGCAGCGAGGCCTAACGTATATCCCTATTGACCTCGCCAATGCCAAGCTTATCGTCTTTACCGACGGTTCCTTTGCGAACAATAAGGACCTATCGTCACAGCTAGGCTTCGTCATTGCCCTAGTCAATGAGACCGAGACCGCACGTACCAAAGACCAATTCGGGATCAAGGGCAATGTCCTCCATTGGAGCTCAACGAAGTGTAAGAGGGTCACCCGAAGCGTGCTAGCATCAGAGATCTACGGCATGGTCAACGGATTCGATATTGGGATATCACTAGCAACGACGATACGGAAGATCACAGACCGCCTCAATCTTCCCTATCCCCTAATCGTTTGCACCGACTCTTTTCCTCTACGAGTGCCTCGTTAAGCTAGGCACAACGAAGGAGAAGCGATTGATGATAGATATCATGGCCCTACGTCAATCCTACGAAAGGCGTGAGATCACAGAAATCCGCTGGATTAACGGCGCAGACAACCCAGCAGATGCTATGACAAAGGCATCGCCTAACCGCGCCCTCGAACGCCTCGTCGATACGAATAGCCTTACGATTAGGATAGAAGGATCAGTCGAACGCCCTCCCGCTAGCTGCCGCTCGAACCGTCACTCTTTTCGCACCCTTGCGGTTGCTGCTACGCTCCCGCACCTGCTGCTACTGCTGCGATTGCAGCGATAAAGAAGATTTGCCAGTGTGGGAATGTAGCATATAGCTATAGTAGGATTGTAAGGGAGGTGCGCACACACGCACACGTGACCCTTAGCGTCACGTGTATGGACCTCGGGGATCCGTGTATAAAGGGCACGTAGTGTGCCCCCTCATTCCCTTTCCTCCCTTCCTAGCAAGACATCTTGAATACAACCCATTGCGTTACTGCAGTACAGACCTCCCGACATAAATAGTATTAAATATTTAAATCGCGGGATATTATATATATATACTTTTAGATTATAGCGTAATAGGTAATTACGTTTTACTTAGAGTTATTAATCGTTATTAACTTATATAAAGATATAAGAAAGATCTATATAAACTTATAAATATTAAATAAGAGGCCTTTAACTATAATAATAAAATTATTAATATAGAGATTAATTACCTTAATATTAATATCTAGGGATATAATAAATAAGTTAACTTTAATATTATAGATATTAAAGAATAAGACTTTATATTAAGACTTTTATAGCTATAAGAAAGCAACCTACTAATTAACTAGAGAACTAGCTAGCTATATTAAAATAAAGATATAAGTTTCTAGGACTAGTAGATTTAAAAGAAAGTAAAATTTTATAATAATTTAGCTACTAAATAAGATAAAAAGGATAACTCTTTAAGTAAATTATTATAGGCTTTAGTAATATAAGTAAAAATAGTAACTAAACTAGCGGATATAATAAAATCGACTAATAAGACTTATATATTAACTAATATAGCTATATAACTTAGTATCTAATATAAATAGAATAAAGGATATAATATAAATATTTAAAGAGTTATTACTACTTTAAGGAAAAACCTTAAATAAATTAATAAAGAGCTTAAGTTAAGAGAAACTAGCTCTTAAAAGAAAAGATAAAGCTTATAAAATAGAATAAAGAATATCCCTTAAGAATACTAGAAATATAATAAACCTTTTAAGGAAGAACTTAAGATAGGGTTACTTAAATATAGCTAATAAGACTATAAAGTTTATCTTAAGGATAGAATAACGCTAATATTTTATAAGATCTATAACTTAAACGAAAAGTAACTATAAACGCTACGCGACTACTTTAATAAGAATCTATAAAAGGGATATATATTAACGTTAATATCTAAAGTAAGCTCCTTAGTTATATTTATTTTAAAGAAAGATAGTAAGCTATAACTAGTTATTAACTATAAACGCTTAAACGATATTATAATAAAGGACTAAGTACTATTACTACTTATATTAAAACTATAAGATCGACTATATAGTAAAGAATTCTCGTAAAGAAAGATATAAGAAGTATATATAAAATATATAAAGGTAAAAGTAAAAGTAAGGGGGTAGATAAGTAGGGCTAAGATATTTAATTCTTATAGGGGTAGTAATTAAGGTAAGGGAGCAATTATTATATTTCCTTAATTTTCCTTCTTTCTTATATTTAACGCCTCTCTTTATACCTATTTAGTATCTTAATTAATAAAGAAGATCCTACTTAAAGAAGCTATTAATATCCTTTTAACTACTAAGCTTTTTACTAGTTTTTCCTATCTTTTCTAGCTATTACTAATATATCTATCTTATCTCTTACTACCTTTATAGGAAGCTATCGCTACTTTTACTTCCCCTTATACCCCTACCCTCCTTTCTATACCTCTTTTTAGCTCCTTCTTCCTTTTTTTATACTAGGTATTTTTAGCTTCCTTAGTCCCTTATACTAAGGGATATCTCTAAGAACTAAGAGATTAAGTTACGGTTCGCGATATACCCCCTTAGCTATAGCCTGCCCTTATAAAAAGGGTAAAGCTAAATACCTAGGCCGGTAAGCGTATAGAGGAGGTCTTAGTCTATACTTATCCCTTACTTAAGAAATCCGGGTTTTAGCCCTAGGCTCTTTTAGACCTACTTTAGGAAAAAGGGGCCTTAAAGAGGAAATTAAGTCCTATAAGAAAGGGGGCTTCTCTAAGGATAAGTCCCTAAAAAAGGGACCTTTAAGAAGAATAAGTCTTAATTATACTAAGGGCCCTCCTTTAAAATAAGTCTTAATTCCTATCTTTAGCTATAGACGTCTCCTTCCTCCTATATATTATTAGCTCTTCTCGTAGACTCTTAGGGCAGGCCTCTAAGGATAGCTTTTCTCGAACGTCTTTTAGCTTAATTTACTATAAAAAGACAGCTAGCTTTTACTTTAGTAGGGGCTTTATAAGACTATTAGCTTTTATTAATACTATTAGAACCTAATAGATAGAAATTAGTCCCTTTTAGACTTCTTAGTATAACTAATACTAGTAGATATTAATATACTATAGCTAGATCGATAGCTTACTATTTTCTATAAGAATTTATATAGTCTATATAGTATTATATTTTATAGCTAA